ACAGTCTTCAAAATATATCCAGACCCTTGCTGAGCAGGGCATTGCACACCTGTGATCATAGCTCTTGAGAGACTGAGGCAGGAGGATCTTGCATTCCAGGCCAGCCTGAACTACAGAGTCTGGGGGAAAAAATTATATGTATATATATATGTATATATATATATATATACATATATATATACATATAATTTTTTCCCCCAGACTCTGTAGTTCAGGCTGGCCTGGAATGCAAGATCCTCCTGCCTCAGTCTCTCAAGAGCTATGATCACAGGTGTGCAATGCCCTGCTCAGCAAGGGTCTGGATATATTTTGAAGACTGTACTAGCTGTTCACATGTATGGTGTGAGAGAAAGGAGATGTCAAGGGTAAGTACAAAGTTTATCACTTGAGCAACTGTCAGTGAACCACTCTATTTGCTGACCTTGAAAAGAGTGTGAGATAAGGAGCTTTGTGGGAAATCAGGAGGCCAATTTTGAGCATGAGTAAATAAATTGAAAGTTCTTTCTCATAGTTTTCTAATTTTGATTTTCTAATTTCGATGGTTTATTATACCAAGGTTTGAACTCAGTACCTTGCACTTGTAAGGCAGGCATGGTGCCACTGAGCTACATTCCTGGCCCATAAATATTTGAATATTAAATGTATCAAGACATTATGAGATGAATACAACTTACCTTTGGCCTCTACAATTACAAAAGGTGCTCAAAGTGGTGGTCATTAGCTTCCAGACATTTATTAGTATGGGAACTGCTGAAGTGTGTATATAGTTTTTTGGTTTTGTTTTTTGCATACTCTGTATATAGCAAGACTTTGTCTTGATCAGTAGATAGATGTCCAGAGTCCTACAGTTCACCACCAGCACACCTGCCATACTGATCCAAACTACTATCATCTCTCATCCTGGTTATCATAATGTCATTAAATTGGGGAGTCCCAATTGGTGGCAATTTTGCCCCTCAGAGGACTGTTGGCAATATTTGGAGATATTTTCCACTGTGAAACTCAGGAAAGGGTATAACTCAAGAAAGGCCCCATAATAAAGAATTATCCCTAGGGCTGGGGATTTAGCTCAGTGGTTCTGGTAACTAACTGCCTTGCAAGTATAAGGACTTGAGTTCAATCACCAGTACCCCCCCCAAAAAAAAAGAATTATCCCTTCCTGGGCTAGGGATGTAGCTCAGTGGTAGAGAGTACTTGCCTAACATGCAAGAGGCCCTGGATTTGATACACTCCTAAAAAAACAAAACAAAATAGATACAGAAATAAAAGAAGAAGTAGAGCCAGATGTGCTGGCAAAGTTTGGGGGAAAAGAGCAAGAATGGAAAGAGATGCTGAGCGTGGTGGCGCATGCCTGTAATCCCAGCACTCAGGAGGCTGAAGCAAGAGGATCGCAGGAGGAGGAGTTCGAGACCAGCATGGGCTGCATAGTGTGTTCCAGGTCAGTCTCAACTACATAGTGAGACCCTGTCTCAAAATAACAACAACAACAACAACAACAAAAGGGAAGAGATGAGTAGCTACAGTGATATTCTGAACTTGGGGAGATAGTATGGAGATACAAATTTTTAGGAACTAGTGTAATGTAATATTTTATGGTTGACATCCTCATAAAAACTTTCAGCAAAACATCTATAGTGATACAGCATACTCAGGTGTATAGTGGTTGTAAGTGAAGGCTCTAGTGCAGACTGCTTGGCTTCCAGTATACTGTAGTCAGGATTTGCAAGGGAATAGATTTAATACAGGACACATATTTTATAGGATTAATTTATGACAGTCACACCAAAAGTCAAATGCAGAGGAGTGCAAGAGATTAGCCACACACTAGAGACCCAAAGAATTCAGCCAAGGGCCTGTATCGCACAGCAATGTATCGCACAGTCCTGGTGAAGGCCTAAAATCCAAGGAAATATACCCTGAGTCCAGCCACTGGTCTAGAGACCACAGCAATGTCTCATGCTTGTCCATATCCAGGATCTGCACCTGGAAGGCCCAAAGGCCAGTGGTGGGAGCCAGAAAACTTGCACTGGTGGGGTAAAGGATTTGTGCTACCGGGCTGAAAAATCTATATTGGAGCCAGGAAGTGATGCTTACCAGAGCTCCCCTGAAAAGAACCTCAGTCATTTCCAGCAACCCCAAGACCAGTACCCCAAGCTCCTCCTCTGAGAACAGCCAAGTTTGAATCAGGAAAACTAACTGCAGCAAGATTCTCCTAGAAAGTAAACAGCTGACATTCCTCCCCTCCAGTTTTCTTTTTATGCTATTCTTTTTATGCAACAATCCTCAGGTGGGTCTTCCCACCCAGACCACCCATACCGATTCAGCTCAGCTGGGTGTTACAAGCTGACCATTAATTAGTTAATCCACCACACAGTATCTGCTGTGGTATTCACTGTGTATGCTTGGGCCTTCTCTATGATCTAGTTTTTTTTATCTATGACATGCACACAGTACTGGTATCTACCTTGTGTGGCTGTCTTCAGGCATAATTAAGATAGTAAATTGCATATGTTTAGCACAAATTCCTGGCACACACAGATAGCTTATGATAGCTAGCTATCATTTCTATTATTAGGAAGTAGTTTAGAAGATAGGAGAGCTAAGGCATTGACAAGAAAAGACCTCAAAAAAAAAAAAAACCAAACAAACAAAAAATAAGCAAACTTCAGGTACATTGCTATAATATCATCAAGTTGCAAATACTGCTAATGGTAAGTTTCCATTTATACATTTTGAAACAGAACAATTATTTCTGCCTGCATGGGAATGCCACATTCTTTTCTGATGTGTCTAAAAATAGTAACAAGAAAGGCCAGTTTTGTTTGAATTATGCCCATTTTGTAGCTGAGGAAACTGAGATTTAAGAGGTTTTAGTTAAGTAACTTTCAAAAGGTCATTCTTGGAACAAATTAAATTATGATGGAAGTCAAATCAGCTTAACCCTATGGTCCATGATCAGGAAGGAAAATGTAAAAGAAAGAGAAGAATGATGTCAGACATGGAGGAAAGGAAAACTAGCTGAATCTTGGAGGCCTTTTGCAGGAAGAAAAGGGAGCCAGGCAGACCTGAGGCCTTACAAGGGGCCTAGTGCTGAATAGCTCCTGGGATGTTCCTTCGGAAGCTGCTACAGTGGTCATAGTGTGGAGTGATCCTGAGCAGAGAGAAGGAAGTGGGGGCTGTAGTGACAGGCTAGAGAAATGCCCCTGAGTTGGAGACTAACAGGAGACTATATGGGGAAAGAAGACACGAATGATGAACATTGACTTTGGGCCCCGTTCTAAGCTCTTTATAGGTACAGTGTATTAGCTTCATTAATCTTCCTTATGGACACTCATTTTAAACCTCATTTTATTTATTTATTTTTGGTACCGGGGATCAAACTTGTGATCTTGCACTAGCAAGGCAGGAGATGGAACCACTGAGCTAAATCCCTGACCCTTAAACCTCATTTTATAGTTGAAGAGACTGTGTACATATTTACTGAGCATTTACCATGTGCCAGGCATGTAAGATTTCATTAGATTGATCTTCTTTATTCTGTATAGCTGCCCCTTACAACAAGTGCTATTATTATTGTTTTATTTTTTGGTATCGGGATCGAACTCAGGTCCTTGCACTTGTGAGGCAGTTGCCGGGACCACTGTGCTAAATCCCTGGCCTGACAAGTGCTAGTATTATTCCTGCTACAAGGATAAACTGAGGCCCTGAGAAGTTAAGTAACTTGCTCATGGTCACACATAGTAAGGCCAGGGCTCAAAAACTGTGGGTCTGACTCAAGAGTTGGGTACCCAGTACTTTTTTTCAAAGGCTTATTTCAAAGCAGGATGTGATGGGAAAACAAAGAGGGGTTTTCAAGTAGTGCATTCAGTGGTGCTGACTGCTACAGAATTCAGAAACGGAAAGCCTTGCTCTTGAACCTGCAGATGCCAACTTGGAAGTGCTTGAGAACTCTTGGAAGCAGTTGTGGGTAATTCAGGTACCAGTGTGCAGGGATGGGAAAACTGAGGGGACAGGCAGCCTGAAGTGATGAAAGTCTCTCTCCTGCCTCATGCGATAGGCACCCAGGCAAAAGGACTGTGTTCCTTGGCACATTCCTACTTCTGTCTGGTGGTGGGCATCTTGCTTGATTGAACTTCTCTTCCCCCCTACTGAGAATTCCATTGCCCTGGTAATCAGAGGTGGTGCCCCACACAGCCTTCAGGCCTAAACAGCCAGAGTAATCCTGCCTGGAGCCAGGGCAGGAACTCTGTATAAACCGTGGGATTTTTCCAGGGCTCCATACCAACAACTGCTTATAGCTTTCATCACACAAAGCAGAAACATCTTAAGTGTTGGCAAGACACCAGGTTGAAGATGGGCTTATCTTTCAGGGGTGCTTCTTAATTAAAGCCTAAGACTTTTAAAGCCCATTCAATCAAGCTTGCTTTCCTTACCATCTAGAGTCTAGAGAAGATCAAAATAACTTCACCCAGAGCAGCATTAATTGGCCATGGTTTCCGGTGTTTTTATTGCTCTGTAATAAGGTTACTTACGCTCTTTCTTGAATTCTTTAATCACTATGCACATGGATTCCCATCTGCCTTTTACTTTACTCATGGCTATCTGAAGATTTTCTTTGACTCTTACAGAGATACTCTTTCTGAGACAACACACTGATCCCTGTGGCTGGTGTACTGTGATATACTGTAAGGCATTCATTTCCTTAGTAAAATAGAGGCCCATGTCCACTGGTGACAAGTCAGAAGAGGCCGGAGTGCTCTAAGTCACAGTCCCAGGAGCAAATGAAATTAGTCTGTTGGCCAGGAAGCCAAATACGATGGTCTGCCCTACCCTTTCCAGATGTGCCTACGATGTACAGCAACAAGGTGCCTTTTGTATTTGGGTTTTGTGGTCCCGGCTTTTGGTGGTTCCGTGGCTTTCCTTCCGCTAGCCATTTTGCAAAATGCAATACTCAAAGGGTCCCACTATGCAAATATAGTTGCCCTGGGACCTCGACGGAGGGGGTGTCTCTAACGCTGGGCCGAGAGCGTAGAGCAGGACGTGAGACTCCAGCTCAACCCTATGCTAGGGACTAGTGAGAAACTGAGAAGTCAAGTCTTTCAACCGTAATCAGCGCCGGCCGCCCGGAAAAGTAGAGAAGCGGCCTCCTACCGCCTAGAGAGTACAAACAGGCCTGTCCGCTCTGTCTGCGCCGCGTCTCTATGGCGGCCCCAATGGGCGGCTAGGTGGCTGAGCAAAATGAATGTAGGCGCTGAAGGGGACTGTAGCGCCACTACGCTTGCGGCGCGATCGGCGAGTTTCCGAGACGGCAGTCCTACAGAGGATGGCTTTGTCCCGTCGGCGCTGGGAACACGAAAACAGTAAGTGCGGCGCGGGGTTAGGAGAGGGTGAACGTTGATCCTCTTCCTGAGCTGGGGAAGGACACCGCAGGAAGGCAAGAAAGCCCAGGGAATGGAAAAGCCTTTGGGGGTGTGATGGGAGGAGCCTGAAGGGCAGCCTTGGGACCTTTAAGGGGGTTTGAAAGGAGGAATCCCGGGAACCCCTTTGGGGGAGCTTACCTGGTTTCAGGAGAAGGGATATGTGGGTGTGGGACGAACTCAGAAGCTCTTGGGGAGGCCTTGTAGGGGTGTTGAATTGATACAGGCTTGGGAAAAAGAAAGAGGGCGTGAGGCTGGCGAATAGGGCTGGTGGGCAAGGTTAAGAGGCCGAGAGAGAGTCTGTGAGGCTTAGAGGGGTAGATGACCTGAGGAGGGAGTGAGGAGATTGTGGGGCATTTGGGGAGGGAGTAAGCGAAAGTGATCTGACGTAAAATAGAGGCTCAGTAATTGCTTAATGAATTAACAGATGAATGAATGGATGTGGGGAGCCGTTAGAATCAGAAGTAATTTAAAGGGATGAAAAGAAGCAGGGAATTCTAGAGAGATAAAGTAGGAAGAAAAGGTAAATGAGAGGGGTACTGTATTTGAAAGGACTAAAAGAAAATATAAACAGGGTTAGAATACAGGGGGAAATGGAGAATAATAGAGGAAATAGACTGGTTTAGGACTTAAACTTAACCTTTAAGCAGATTTTATCTCTGATGGGTTTTCCTGAATGAAAATCCTGTGCTTGCACATTGAAAACCAAATACTTGGAAAAAAACAAAAAACAAATGCTTGGTCAAAATTCTGTACCTGCTCAGAGAGTTTGGACTTGAGTCTGAGGACTTAAGAAACTTGGATAACTGTCTCTTTGTGCTTTTTACATTTTTTTATTAATCAATTTTATTGGTATATTTAAGGTATACAATGTAATGACATTTATCATTGGAAATTTGCACCTTTACAATCATTTTGATTCTTATTTTTTCCCCATTCCCCTGCCCTCCCTTTAATCCCTCCACCCCTCCCTATTTACAAAGACTTTGTTTCCATTCCATTTTTTCTTTTTCTCATGTTAATTAATTTCATTCTCATCTTTCTTTTTCCCTCTGTGCTTTTTTTTTTTTTTTTTTTTTACAGGAGCAAGTATGTCTTTCCATCTTCTTATATCCTCTTGTCTTTTTTTTTTTTTTTTTTTTTGATACTGGGGATTGAACTGGGGATTTTGTGTTTTTGAGGCAGGTGTGAGCACCACTGAGCCAAATCCTCATCCCTCTTTGTGCTTTATTTAAGCTAAAATTTGTATAACATTTATGCATCAGATATTCTAAGTGCTTTACATATATGCATAAACTTATTCTGCTTGCCCATACTTTCATTTTTTTAACCCAAGGATGTTAAGAAATTGAACTATGTGCACTTATTGCATTATTAACAATGTTTTAAACTTCTCTGTGATGTATTGGAAACATATACTTAATTCATAATATAGTTTAACTCTAGAATCTCACCTTGTATTTTATTTTACATAGTTGGAATGCTGTCTATGAAAGAGAACTACAAATTTTCCAAGAATATGGAGATACAGGAGAAATTTGGTGAGTTAGAAAATTACAGTCCAGAATAGTATATTGAGATGTGTATATGCATTTATACCAAAGATGGACAAACTAAACATCTTGGGAACCCTGGATTGAGTCTAGCTTAAGTGGGTGGAATTAAAGTATCTTTTTTTTTTTTTAATGATTTATTTATTTATTTTTTTGGTACCAGGGATCAAACTCAGGACCTTGCAGTGGCATTGCAGGCGGTGGCACCACTGAGCTAAATCCCTGGCGCTAAATGACTTACATTTAAATTGATCAGAATATTAAGAAATTACTTTTGTTTTGTAGTTGTCATTTTTCAATAAATGATAATTTTTTTTTTTTGGTACTGGGGATCAAACTTGGGTCCTTGCACTTGCAAGGCAGGTGGCAGAACCACTGAGCTAAATCCCCGGCCCAATAAGCCATAATTTTAAGCCATCAACATGTACTGATGTCCAAGAAAACAGTTGTTGGGACATATTTTCAAGTGTTAATGCTAATGTAGAGAAGTATTTGTAATAAAAAACTGATATGTCTATTGTGTTCTATTTTGGAGATATTTTCTCATAAGTAACTATAAAAACAAAACTTAGACATTCACAAATACTATTCACTTTCAAAAAAGTCTTAATTGGGCACATGATATAAATACCTTAAATAGAATACAGCTGTAACTTTTGTTCTATTTGTTTTTTGTAACTGATTCTGTTTCTAACAGGTTTGGGGAAGAGAGTATGACTCGACTAATAAGGTGGATGCAGAAACACAAGATCCCATTGGATGCTTCAGTGCTTGATATTGGAACTGGAAATGGTGTTTTCCTGGTTGAACTTGTTGGTACTTTTAATATTCATATGTTTGAGCCAAATTTTCCATGAGATTTCTAAAAAGGCTCACAATTGATGTTAAACATCTAGGCCCAGGGATTTAGCTCAGTGTTTCTGCCACCTGCCTTGCAAGCACAAAGTCCCAAGTTCAATCTCCAGTACCAAAATTAATAATAATAATGATGATGTTAATAATCTAAATATAAAGTAGTTGTATCTTTTTGATAAAGTACATGGTATAAGAGGAAGACTGGATGGATTGTGAGAAAGCACTAAAAGAGTAGTGCCAGTCATAATACTGAAAAACAGTCCCAAAATCTGTAATTCCAGAAGATCAAAATCCCTAAAGTCTAAAATTTTCCCCAAAAATCATAATCCTAGATTACAATCTCAAATATTGAAATCCCTGAAGCCAAAACTTGGAAAACTACAATTCCCACTAATAAAAGGCTTATGTAAGGTCAATAGAAAGCAGAATACTTGGGGAAGGGATTAGTGTATTTTCAGTTGCATGCATGAAAGTTCCATCTTGTGAAGTACAATATATACTAAGAAACCTGGTTAAGCATTATGTTGGGCATATCTGTGAGGATGTTTCTAGAAGAGACTAAAGCCTTGAGTCTTGGTGGAGAATGTGGAGAATATAGCCCTCAGTGGGGCCTGGGGCCTTGAGAGAAAGGTTACAGAATGTGAATTGGTCTCTTAGTGGTAGGACAGAGTTTTCTTCCACTGTTTTGAACATCAATTCCTGGCCTTTGGACTCTAAGACTTAATGCCAATGGCTTCTGGTCCTCATGGTTTTGATCTTGGATTGAGATTTGCACCATTGGTTTCCTTGCTGCTGAGATCTTTGGGTTTGGACTAAGCCATGCTATTGGCGTCCCAGGCTGTCAGATTGTTTTAGGACTTCTCAGCCACCATAATTATGTTAGCCAATTCCCTCAATAAATTCTCTGTCATCTATCTACTTACATAGCTTATTGGTTTTGTCCCTCTGGAGGACCCTAAGATGGATTTGCTATTGGAGAAACTGGTTTCCTTTGAACACAATGGAAGGAATCTGTGAATTCTCTTCAAAAATGCTCTGATAACTTTGGTGTTCTTAGGCTGGATAATGGTGAAACATAAAACTTTGAAAGCTAATTTTTGGTGCTGTGAAAGCAATATTACTTAGTTGCAATAATCAATTTTTTTGGTAGTACTAGAATTTGAACTCAGAGCCTCATGGATGTTAGGCAAGAACTCTTCCCCTGAGCTACATCTCCAGCCTTAACCAGACTTGCAGATGGATAACATATATTTAGGAAATTTGTAGACTAAAATCACTCTCCAAATAAAAGTGCAGTGTCACTAAGATCAAAGAAGTGAAAATGTAGATGAAAAATACAAGCAATCTTCCTGCTCAGATTACTCAATTCTGTACTATTTTTTCCCCTTTATCCATAGCACCATATTTACTTTAAGAAATGTACTTTGTCAGAACAATAATTTGATAAGTTTATTATTTTGGCATTTGAATTTATAGAGATACCCTCTGTTAGAAAACATTAAGTAGGATTAGAGATTTGACTCTTTTTAAGACCCTAGGTAGACTTCTTGGTATACCAGGAAGAACCTGATTAGCACAATTATGTCATCTTTGCTAAAGTAGTACAATCAGCAATAACAATAGCTTCAAACATAGCCTAGAAAATGACAAACTGTGATAACTATTTATTTGCCACCTTTAACCATCTGAACTAGAGTTATGGTTATATAACAAAATCTAGAATGAACTGCACTTCCTGACCTCCTGCAGACTTAAACTTGGCACCCTCACTGCCACACTGGGAACCACTACATAGAGTTGGCCTATAGCTGTTGAGTTCCAAGCTCAGTTGGACCTTCTCCAAGATGGCTGCTGGCCAGTTGCCCTCTCCTGAGTGATGTTTGAACGTGAATAATTCACCAGCCACTGCAATCTGCTGCCTCCATTGCTCTGCACTACTGGTGCATTTTACTGTGGAGGCCGCTGGGGTTGCCCGTAGTCAATGTGTACAGGTTCAACCTGCCCTTCCCATGTTATGAATACAGATTCTAGGACAAAATGCCATCTGCTACCTCCCTCTTTTTGTTGAAGTAAGCCTCTTGGCTCTCCCTATGGACTTCATTTCTCACTTCAGATCCTTTCTGGGTCCTGGGAACCCACTTCCCTTCTCTGCACATTGCAATATTCCAATGTCTGGACACCAAATCCTGGAGAGGTTCTTTCTCTGCTGTTCTTCATTCCCATCTTCCCAGAAATTCCAAACTTAGAGCTTTGACTTTGTTGTTGTTGTTACTGGGGATCGAACTTGAGTCCTTGCACTTGTGAGGCAGGTGGTGGAATCACTGAGCTAAATCCCCGGCCCGAGATTTGACTTTTTAAGAAGATAGACTTCTTACATTTACCACTAAGTGTAACACTGAAAAGCTAGTACATGCCTCACTTTGGCTAATGTAGCTTTTTGGGGGGGCAGTGGTATCGGGGATCAAACTCAGGACCTTGCAGTTGTGAAACAGGCAGTGGAACCATTGAACGTTTTTTTTTTTCCCTTTGGTACCGGGGATTGAACTGAGGCCCTTGCACTTGCAAGACAGGTGACGGAAACACTGAGCCAAATCCCCAGCCCAGGAACCACTGAACTAAATCCCCAGCCCTTCTTTATCTATTACTGACTAGAAAAACACATACATTTTAAAGGGTTATTTGAAGATTTATGAGGAAAATGAATTTCAGTTAAATTCCCAAATCATACTGGTAGGTTGGAAATTGTGTGATCAAAACTTGTAAAAGTGAATTTCAGGGTATTGTTAATAAAGTTTTTTTTTTTTTCATTTTAGCCCAATGCATTTGACAGAAAATTAACATGAATATTGGTCATGAAAAATGGCAAAGATGAAAACTTAAGTTTAAACGTGTCATTTTTTTTTTTGTCATTGTTGGCATTCCTTCCAGCTAATGAAATCCCAGCAGCTTTTAATAAATTAGAGTCAGAGCCATGTATGGTGGTGCACATCTGTAATCCCAGTACTCAGGAGGCTAGGATAGAAGGATTATGAGTTCAGGGTCATCCTGAGTTATACAGCAAATCCAAGGCCAGCCTAGACTATATAGCAAGACTCTATCTCAAATAAAGCAAGCAAACAAACAAAAGAAAGAAAAAAGATGAAGTAACTGACTGGTTTGAAAATAATTACATGCCCTGTAGGATAAGAAGATAATGCAATGGTGCTCTTCTTCATTCCATAGCCAATGTTGTTTCTGCCAAACCTGTGGTCTGTATATGAGTGCAAGCAGAATGGATTTCTGTGTACCAAAACAGCATAGAGGTGTGAAGATGGAAACAATTTAATAGGAAATTCTCATGTCATTGTATGTTGAATCATAGAAGAATTTCAAAAATAGCAACATCACATTGAAAATGAATGTCAGGCCTGGGGATTTAGCTCAGTGGCACTGTGCCTACCTTGCAAGCCTTGAGCTCGATCCCTGGTAACAGGAAAAAAAAATAAGAAAAAAGAAAATGAATGTGAATATATTTTCCAAGAAGAACCATGCCTTAAAAAGTACCTTTTTTTTTTGTACTGGGGATCAATCTTAGGACATCACACTTGCCAGGCAGGTACTGTGCCTCTGAGCTAAATCCCTGGCCCAGAACCTATTCATGTTAATATGAAACTTCAAAATATAGTTAATGATTTTGAAAGTTGGTCAGGATTTACAGACTGCTTTTGTGTTTTGCCCATAATTTATCACTATAATACACTTTTATTTCATATGTTGAAGTTTTATGTTTTGTTCCTTTAGTTTTTTTTTTTCTCCTATTTAAAATTTTCAGCATTATTTTTAAGTGTGTGTGTGATGTTGGGGATGTAAACCAGGGCCTTGCACAAATGAGGGAAGCATTCTTTCACTGAGCTGTATGCCCCTAGGCTGTTTTATTTATTTATTTATTTATTTTGGTATCGGGGATCAAACTTCGGTCCTTAGCTTGTCCTTCATAGTATGTATTTCAGGTGACAGAAGCTGTAAAGTTGGGCACAATACCAACCTTAGTATTTTGTGTTTATACATTTCACTTTTAAATTCTTTTGTGAATATGATTTGTCTGCTCATAAACTGTTACCTTAGTGCATCTTCATTAGTGTATCCGTAGTTATACTTGCAAAGTATCTATGTTATTAATGCCTGTTTTGTTACATAAGGTGGCCTATGCATTATTGTCATGTTTATGTTTAGAAATCTTTAAACATGTAAATAGATGTCTTTTAAATAGTGTTTAAATTTTTTGGAGGTATATTTTTGGGGTTTTGATCTTTTAGGATTTTATACTTCAGTAATTTTGATCTTTTGGGATTTCAACATTTAGGATGGTGGTTTTTGGGTTTGTGTCTTTTTGGGCTTATAACTAAAACCCCTAAAAGAGAAGACGGGGAATCTGAGTCCTAGTCTTGGTTCTGGCTATACTCTTGAACAAGAGCAGGCTACTCAGAGTTTTGGCTAGGTGATCTTGATTGGTTTCTTCTAACTCAAATCTGTATTTATAAAAGAAAAATGATTGCAATTCTAGTATGAATTTAGGTGATTGTGTGGTTTGAAAAAAGCGTTTTGTCCATGGAACCAAGTTTCGGTACAGGTTGTAGTACTAGCTTATCACTGTGTTATGCCTGTAGTTTGCTCATTTCTTTGGAGGAAGAATAAGACTTAGGCTTCATCCTAAATGGCTTTCTGGTCTGATTTGTAAGCGTACATACATAAAAGTGAAATGCATTGAGCGACTACTGTGAGCTAAGCTTCATGCTAGGTACTGAAAACATGAAAATTTAAATCTTGTGTTTGAATTATATAGATAATAGAGAACAGAATGACAAGTTAAGCTATAGCTTGATGTGTGTGATAATAGATATATTGGGTCCTGAGTGTAGGCTCTGGTTGGGGGTTTATGGTGTTGGATATTGAGGAAGTGTGAAATCATTATTTCTTT